TTTAGTTGTATTTTTTAAAGCGTGTTAATCTCGTGTGCATAACTCGATCTAATCACATAATAGGAATTAAGGGTAATGCCCTTTTAATCTAAAATTATCAGAATGGCTTTCCTTAACTTACAGGAAAGTTGTTTTGACGATTTTAAATTAAAATGGTACTTGGATTTGGTAACGTAGACCGTAATTTGTCGTTTTAATTAAAATTAATTTTTATTTAAAATGACAATGTTTTGGGTGCCCAATCACACCTAATCAAAGATTGGTGGCGACTCCTCGAACTTATTTTTATCGTAAAGGAATTTCCAATTTTTCGAAACGAGAGGTTTTCTAAAATCGCACTGTTTTTAATTAAAAATCCAATTGAAAAGATAATAATTAAAAATGACGCGGTTTCCAAAATCTCGCTCTCGCCCCGCCCCGGTTAAAAATCGTATCGACAGTTTCACAAAAAACAATTAAATTGTTTGATAATTCAATTTTTTGGATCTAAAAAATTATAACTTTTTTATTTTAAAAATAAAATTATGATTAATAAATAATTAATTAGTTATAAAATAATTTGATGAATGAAAATTTAAAAAAATATAAATTTCAATTTTAATGATGAATTGTTTTCATATTTTTTTTAAAAAAATAATTTTTTTATTTTTTATTTTTTATTTTTTGATTTATTACTTAAAAATGTTGATAAAATGTCAAAAATGAAATTTTAGTTATAATTGAGGGGTCTAATAAGATATTTTCTATTAATCTAGCATGATATGTCACTCTCTTAATAATATTTTACGGTCTCTATTTATTTTTTAATAAAATTTAAAGTTTAATGTATGTTTTATAACTTTTAAAAATCCAATGACAAATGGAATCTTTTTAATAAATTTAATGATTATTTATAAATTTTAATATATTTTTATATTAATGTGCATATAGATGTACATCATTAGTGGTTCACAACAATGTGTGTCATTCATTCTAGACTCATCCTAGAAAAATAAATTACATTTATATTATATAAATTTCATTAATTTTATGTAAAAATATAATTATTAGATGAATTTAAAATGGTTGAAATTCAAACAATAGTATTTTTGTGAAAATTGAAAAAATATTAATAAATATGTTTAATCATAATCATTCATTTAAATTCATTTAAATATAAAACTAATGAGTTTTATACATAATAAATAAATGCAGAGGGAGGGGAATAAGTTCCGTCTATATTATAAAAAATTCATTAGTTTTACATAAAAATATAATTATTAAATAATTCTAAATAAATATTTGAAATTAAAATATTACTATACTATTTTTGTGAAAATTGAAAAAGGAAAAAAATATAATGTTAATGAATATTCTTAATCGCGATCATTTAAAATTCTCTCATGATTATAATTTTATATAAAATTAATGAGTTTTATACATCGTAAATTGATCCTATTGGATACATATTAACTTTATTAGGGGTAAACAATGAAATAATTTAGTTTAATAAAATAACTAAAAGATTTAAATTATATTATTAATATTGAAAGGGACTAAAATATTATCCATTTAATCAAAGGGAGTAATATATAACTTTATAGGGGTAAACAATGAAATATTTAGTTTAATAAAATAACTAAAAGATTTAAATTATATTAATAATATTGAAAGGGACTAAAATATTATCCATTTAATCAAAGGGAGTAATATAATATCAGAGGTTGGTTCAAGTAGTAAGCAGTTTAATATCACTTAAGTAAGGTCTCGAGTTTGAGTCCTTGTGTACGTATGCAGAAAATCTTTGCTGGAAGACTCACCCACAAAAATCAGGTGTGCGACGCAGGTTAATCTTAATTAGTCAAGACGAAACTTTGGAATAGAGTGGGCAAAAAAAGGGAAATTAATATTATTTAATTAATATTATAATTTGAATTTTTTATTTTATTTAAAGTTTTAATAGCTCAAATCGTTCGATTAATTATAGCGACTAAATAAAATTAATTGGTAACAAGATTCTTTTTAGCAAGAAAGGAAATTAAACCTCTCCCACTCCTCTCATTGGTAATGAGTCACAGTGCATAGATTTCCAATTTATATGTACACTAAGTTGAGGTTTCGCAAGAGCATGATGAAATGGACGTTTTTCTTTCCAAATATAAACTATAAGATTTTGGCTTTATATAGGATTAAAATTCACTTATATCCGGCATAAAATTAAGGTGGCGTTTGGTTGGATAGAAATTCTTAGAATTGGGGGAATTGAAATCCAATTCTATCATTTTCCCATGTTTGGTTCAAGTTTTCCAAGGAAATTAGAATCCCTCATGGTTTCAACTTTCCATCAAAGGAGTGAAAGTGAATTTCATCCAAGAATGGATGGAATTCAATTTCCTTGTTAAAGGAAATTGAAATTTGACAATACTACCTTCATAAATCTTTTGATAACTTATTCATATATTGAATAAAAATATTTTTTTATTATTTCGGGTCGGGTCGGGTTTCTAATTCATATAGTCGGGTCGGTTTTTTTAAGTGTGATATTCGGGTCGGGTCGGGTTCGGGTTTAGGGTGAAACATACCCGACCCGAAAATATATATAATTTTACCATATATATTTAGGAATAATTACAATAATACCCCTCTCTATATAAATTTTTTTCTATTTTTATTAAATAAAAATAATTTTTTATTATTTCGGGTCGGGTTTTTTAAGTGTGATATTTGGGTCGGGTTTAGGGTGAAAAAAATCGGACCGACCCAAAAAAATATATAATTTTACCTTATATATTTAGGAATAATTACAATAATACCCCTCTATATATATATATTTTTTTCAATTAAGTCACTATTTTTATTGAATAAAATTAATTTTTTTATTATTTTGTGTCGTGTCGGGTCGGGTTTCTAATTCATATATTGAATAAAAAATAGTTTTTGGTATATTTTTTGTAACTAATTAACATACTCCGATTGGAATGTATCGAAATATTGCTCTATCTTTTGGTAACTTATTAACATATTTTGATTTCAATGATTTTAACTTTCGTGATGTTTATTAGCATGATTTTTATAATTTATTGAAATGAATAATCAATCAATAAAATGAAAATTTAATTTTTTTTTAAATTTTTTTATAATATATTATTACATTTAAGTTGTAAAACAAACTAAAATAAAGCAAAAAAACAGGAAGGGCAATTCTATCATTTTACATTACTGAAATCAAATTCATCTGACATGTCTGCGAACCAAACAGAATATGGGATTGGATTCCAATTTCATTTCTTGCCAACCAAACAGAATATGAAATTGAATTCCAATTCCTGACAGATTCTAATTCCTTCACAAATTTCAATTCTCTCAGAAACATTCCAACGAACCAAACGCCACCTAAGAGTTTCAAAACTGTTGGATGAGAAAAATCAAAGACAGAGTTTAATTCTTTATTTGTTTTCAGTGAATATCCACATATATATATATATATATATATATATGAGTTATAATTATTTTAGTTTTACACATATTTAGAACATTTAAATGAATAAAAATAAATTACTAAGATTAACTTCTTATTTTTTCCCATTAAATAACTTTTCATTTTCTATTATTAATTTTGGTAATTTATTTTCATTCGTCTAAAAATATTAAATATGTGTAAAACTAAAAAAAAATTAAAAATAATTCATCTTTTATATAAAAAAACTTCTTATTTATTAGTATTATTGATTTTATCTATTTATTTTTATTAATTCAATGGGAAGATAAGGATACGAAGTGGAATACACATGGCATTTAAAATGCAGAAGAGATGCCTTTCATCGTTGGCTCATCTCGTCCCAAGGGTAGTTGTTTTTTGTTTTTATTCTCGAAAAATGCACAATCAAACCTTACATTTTTGCGCCGACAAGATAGTGCTTGTTTTATATATTACGTTAGAATAATAAATTTTTGAGTAAATTATGTATTTAGTGATTATAATTTTGTTTTCATCATTCAACTATTAATTTTTTTAAATTATACATAGAGTTACGATTTTGATTTTTTTATCATCTACGATAAATAATTAAGGGTAAACTACACATATCATCACTGTCATTATACTTAATTTTTTTTATTTAATCACTTGATCATTGAAATTTTTTAATCACTCTATATTTTTTCCCTTAATTATGTGATGGCATGGTATTTTTATTAATTTTTAAACTAATTAGTATTTTATTAATATTAATTTTATATATTTCTCATTCTCTACAACCCGCTCATCTTCCTCACCCATTTGTTCTCGTACTTCACCTCTCATTTGATGTTCACCAACCTCGGCACCCAGAGGCATTGTTGGATCTTGTCCAAACCTTGCGAAGAATTCTCCACAGCGGTGACATGGGTATCCATGGCAGCGCAACTTCATAGTGTTGGCTCGCTCGAACAACATCCACAATGGTTCGTTTAGATAAGTTGAGGTGGCTTTTCGTGTTTGGAAATTCCAAAGCGGCCTCGAGACTGAGTCATACTTATCATCACCACCATCGCTTGAAGTTGTATGCTACTATTGTTACAATAATCCATGGCAAAAAGCTTCGATTATAATTTCTTTGAAAAGGTAACAAGAAAACGTTGTCGGTGGTGGGGTAGCCACTGGACAAGAGAAAAGAGGTGGTGGTGGCCGGCTACGCAACCCCATCTTCTTGCGCCATTGATTCCAAACAGGGGTGTGGCTGAGCAAGCGCATAGCGTAGAGACAGGAGCCTCGAAATAGAGTATATCTATCAGTTGTTGTTATTAAGAAACATAAAAATAGATATAGAGAAGTGGTTAGATCATTGGGATCATGACTTTGTTGAACTTAAGTTCAAATTTTATTAACAAGGAAATTTATTTTTGGAAAAAACAAGTTCAAATTTGCAAATGATTCCCGAAATAGAGTATATCTATCAGTTTTTTAAGTTAATGAAATTAGTCATTTATTATTTCAGAAAAATAAATTCGAGATCTAATGATTCCTTTACAAGAATTTGTACATGGCCTCCAACAGCCTATCTATGTCCCTGATTCCAAACCCTAATTACCTTAATTTGTCATTGGTTTGGTCTCGAAGGGGACAATGGCTACGACCTGCCATTTTGAGAGCCTCCGATGGGTTTGTTTTTGCTGGGTCTTTGATGATGGGTATCATGTCAGTTAAAGAAGATGTCAAAGTTATGATTGTTTTCAATTCTTTCGGTTTGGTCACCGATGCTTGTAGCATGGTAATCAGGGAGCTTGTATCCTTATGCACCAAAAGGGTTGTGGAGGTAGATCAAATGAGAAGAGAGAAGCGAAAGGGACATCCAACAGTGGAAATGATGAGAAACTACCGAATCATGTACAAGTTGAGATGGCATCGACTTTGGCTTTCTTCATCAGTGCGGTGATTCCGCTATTGGTTGCTACTTTTATAAGACATCATAAGGTAAAGATTGTGGTGGTGGTGTTCAGAATGGTGGGTGCTTTGGTTGAAAGATCCTTTCTTAAAAAGTCAAAGAAGTTGTTAAAATTGAGTTCATATCATCACTTTGTTAATAAATTAACATAGGAATGATTAAAAAAGTTTAACACATAAAGTTCAGTTATTAAATTGAAAAATTTTAAACTTGAGTGACCAAAATAGGAATAGGAAAAAGTTGAGTGATAATATGTGTAGTTTACCTAAAAATTAACGATGATTCTGGCGTATCACTATAAGATAATGTCATGTTATCATAAAAAAAAAACACAACGCCAACATTTATGTTTATTTTTAACGATAGGTGATCAAAACGTAATATTGGGTATTATTTTGAAAAAAATAATGGTTGGGTAACCAAAACAAATCCAAAGTGATAATTGAATGAATAAACACGATGTTTACCCTATTTTATAAAAAAAAAAAGATCATGTAAAGTATCATGCTATTCTTTTCTTCTTCTTCTTTTTAATAAGGAGGCCAAAGGCCATTACATCAGGAAATTAAAACAAATGTGGAGAACTCTTATCGGTCCTTTAAAAAACTATAATGAATCTGATGCTGCATGTCTGAGAAGATGTAGGTAGAATCATCGTCGTTAGCATAAACTTTAGTAAGGGTGTCGGCGACAGAGTTTGTTTTGCGACGAATTAAAAGAAACTCCACCATCCAAGGTTTTAAGGTCAAACGAAAGATGAAACGAACAAGATTGAATGAGCTAGAATAGGCAGAAGGCGATGTAACCAACTTATACGCTTTAGCATTATCAATCTGACATTGAATTCGTTAGATACCGTTAGACCAAGCAAGAGTGAGCCCCTCATAGATGCCCTATAGTTCTGCTTGGATCCCAAGCTTCTTATTAAAACTATCATGTTATTGTTGTTGAAATTTTTATACTTTAATTAAAAATATTTTTTGAATGTTGAAGTTTAAATTTTTTTTTTTTTAAATTAAGTTAAAATATAAGAATTTATTAAGAGAAAATAACCTCAGTGACCGAAAATGCCTTGTAATATACGATTTTGACCAACTTTTTTTGGATTTGCCAAAATGACCAAGTAAATCGCAATGCGATCGATAATTCGCAACGCGATCTCCGGTATCGCAAATCAGTTTCCAGATTCGCAACGCGATAGTCGAAGTTCGCGTTGCGATTCATTCCAAATCGTTGCGATAGGCGAAGTTCGCGTTGCGATTCATTCAAATTCGTTGCGATTCATTCAAAATTCGTTGCGATAGTCCAAATATTGCATTTGTTTCTTAAGAATTTTCTCTAAAAAGATAGAATTTGCACGGACGTGTCGAAGATACGTATTACCACGACCACGACCCGAGAGGGGACGGGACGGCGGAGGCGGCGGCGCACGAGAGTCCCCCTTGTTCTCTATCACTCAACAAGGAAGTGGGAAAGCCAAGCCTTAAATACCATTCCCAATAGTGTTTCCAATACTATGTGGGATTGAGCATTACCAACACTTGTTTCCAATACCATTACCTTCATTGTTGTAAGAGTTTAATTTTGAAACTAAAAAAATATTTATTCGAATAAATAACTTACCCTTTGAGGACTTTGATCATAAATGAAGTAATTGCTAAAACTAACTCTAATTCGGGTTCTTATAGTGTTCAAATGACTTACTTGCAAAGAATAGATGATGACCAAACAACTCGATATGTTTCCTTTGTGTCATTATCAGCTAGTTTTCGTAGCATCCTCAGTTGAAAACTTCCATCATTGTCTCCTTTGCATTTGTTTGGTTAATATTTTTCTTCCATCAAAGTCCTCAAAGGGTAAGTTATTTACTCGAATAAATATTTTTTTATTTTCAAAATTAAACTCTTACAACAATGAAGGTAATTGTATTGGAAACAAGTGTTGGTAATGCTCAATCCCACATAGTATTGGAAACACTATTGGGAATGGTATTTAAGGCTTGCCTTTCCCACTTCCTTGTTGAGTGATAGAGAACAAGGGGGACTCTCACGCGCCGCCGCCGCCGCCGCCCCTGTCCCGTCTCGGGTCGTGGTTGTGGTCGTGGTCGTGGTAATACGTGTCTTCGACACGTCCGCGCGAATTCTATCTTTTTAGAGAAAATTCTTAAGAAACAAATGCAATATTTAGACTATCGCAACGCGAACTTCGTCTGTCGCAACGAATTGGAATGAATCGCAATGCGAACTTCGCCTGTCGCAACGATTTGGAATGAATCGCAACACGAACTTCGACTATCGCGTTACGAATCTGGAAACTGATTTGCGATACCGGAGATCGCGTTGCGAATTATCGATCGCATTGCGATTTACTTGGTCGTTTTGGCAAATCCAAAAAAAATTGGTCAAAATCGTTTATTACAAGGCATTTTCGGTCACTGAGGTTATTTTCTAATTTAAGCCTAAAGGTAAATTTAATACGTAAGAAGCGTTTTTAGGTTCGAAAATATCCTTTTAGGTAAATTATAAAATCAATCACTTTAATTTAAGTTTTGTTCACTTTCTTTTATTGAATTGAAAAAAATATAATATTTGATAATTTTCGTTTTTATTTAATTAAGATGTGGGTACTTAGGATTAAGTAACGTTAGAGCTTTAACGGATTATTGACGTGACATAGTGAATATATAAAATTAAAAAGAGTAAAGTACATAAATAGTCACTAATTTTTGAGTAAGTTTTCGTTTTTCTCATTGACGTTTCGAAAATAATAAAATTGGTCTATAATGTTATCAAATGATTACTCCTCCATTTATCAAATGATTTCTCCTCCATTATCCCCGTTAATTGAAGACGTAGCAACGCTAATAAAAAATAATATTTACTTTTACTTCTAAATTATTATTAGAACATCAAATAAGTCATTGAACAACGATTTTTATATCTAATTTACTCAAAAAGTTTTCTTATTTCCAATTTTTTTCCAATGTAATATCATACTTTAGCCCATGTATGAATTCCGTATGGATGAAGGAAAAAATAGATAAACCAACAGCTAGATAGTTGCCATTGCCCATTGCGCGATCCTTCGATTCTTCAATTACACAGTATAGCTTATATATAATAGTATCATCCTGTTCATAAAACACTTGCCTAATAAAAACCCTAATAGCTTAACGGATAAATGCCCAAACTTTATCTTATTGAAGAAACTAAATTTAATGTTTATTCTTAGGGAATGGAATCAAGGATGTCCGGAAGGTGTATTTTTTTTTAAAAAATAAATTTTTATTAATAAATTAATTGTATATTTTATAACTTTATAATTACATTTCTTTTAAATTTTTAATTTAACTTTTAATTATATATTTTATAATTCTTGCGTCACCGACTCCATGTTTTTTCTAACTCGCATGTGGATTTTGTACTTTCATGTTTGACAAATATATTGTTGGAGAATGGTTCAAATTTCAAATGATGGGCGAAAGGGTGAACATGTACGAGATTTTCCAAGCGAAAGTCCTCTTTGAAAAATAAATTTAAATTTTAGAAGTGATATTATTTGATAGTCACGAATTATAAATATTAAATATTAATGTTAAAACGAATACGTAGGATCGAAAGGTCGCTAATCAACCAAAACAAAACACATTAATGGGAAACATATCGACAAAAGATGAGGGTTTTACTTTAAATTTCACTGCAACAAAAATTACAGTTTTTGTGCTTTAATATCTGTAAATAAATTTGTGGTAAACACACACACAGACAAAAATTTTAAAAAATACAAATTATAAGTTTTTCAAATTAAAAAAATGAAAAAAATTATACAAAAACGTTAAAGAAAATGATATATTGTTTTATGGTTATGGACCACGAACAGCAAGACAGAAGCAACCCGGTGAACGGTCTTCCGGTATCATCCCTCCCCCTTTGCTTGTATTAACTGCTTCCAGCATCGTCACTACCTCCTCCATCTCGGGACGGTTCTTTGGGTTTGCGTCCCAGCATTTTCGCATGATGTTCGCTAATGAACTCGGGCAGCACCGTGGGATCTCCGGTCGTAAGTTCTGCCGATAGAATGCCGAGTTTAAGTCACAACACATATAATAACAATAGCATAACGAGCAAACTAACCTCTCGAACAACTGCGGATGATATCTCGATGAAGCTGAGATCCGGATAAGGCATGTCGCAGCAATAAATTTCCCACAAGCAAATGCCGAAGCTGTAGACATCGCACTTCCGGTTGTAGGGCTTTCCATTAAGAACCTATCGTAATTTTCCGACCATGTTACTCGGACTCGAGCCAATGATACGTAAATGAATGGAACGGATGCTTACCTCAGGGGCCATGTATCCAAGAGTTCCGGTTTCACCAGTCATCTCACATGGATTCCAAGCTTCGACACGAGCAACTCCAAAATCGGCAATCTTGACGTTTTTGTGAGCATCGAGTAACAGGTTTTCCGTCTTGACATCGCGGTGTACGATCTTTTTCGAGTGGAGGTAGCTGAGACTGTGTCGAATTCGGAAAGAAGTACGATCATTGCCAAAGTTCTATGTTACGAACTCTTAAAAACAGAGGAAACAGGGCATTATCTTACCCTCTAGAGAGGTCCAAAGCAAGTTGGACGACGACCTTCAACGCGAGTTTCTTCCGCCTATTCCTTATCAAGTACTGCTTCAAAGTCCCACCCGGGAGATACTCGACGACGACACAACATGCTCTAGAAGGAAGGGAATTGCGACCGTCGGCCGACGGATATTTCAAAGGAATCTTAAGGTTTGAAGTTCCCATTGAGGCTCCAACAAACTGTACCAATGCCAGTACGTACATTAAGGCTTATACAAACAAGTAAACGTGCAAAGTAGAAGAAAATTTCGGTACCTTCGTAACATTATGATGGTTAAGCTTATGCCAAACTGCGACCTCTTGCTTAAACGACGCTCGCATCGCCGCGGTTTCGGATGCGCCGCCGCCGCTCCAGTCCAACACCTTGACTACAACATTCAACATTGCAATGCAGTAGCCAGTAAGACTAGAATCCTCATTGTACGTGCTTCAAAAAGAGATGGTGAAAGTATACCTGCAACATCGTTGTTATCGTACGTCGCACGGTAGACGGTGCCGTAGGTGCCACGAGCAACGACGTATCGCAACTCCAACTTAGCTAAATCAATTTCCCATTCGTCGGCAGGCTTATGTTCGTCGACGTTTTTGGTCCAAACCGAGTTGAGATGCTTCTCAAGCTGCATGTCTAGGGTTTTTAAATCAATTTTATCAGCTCTGAAAATCATATCTTTGGCATTAATGCCTGAAGCTTTCAACTTTGGATTTTCATCTGAAATGATAACACCACCATCTTCCTCTCCAAGTTTCAAACCCATACCCATTGCACAACAAAATCACAGGTAAAATATACACACACAAAAAAACGAAAAAAAATGGTAACACAAGAAGTATGGAATGGAACAGGAAGGATGGTGGTGGCGACTCTGAAAATTGATTCTTTTTTTTAAAGGTGAATTTGAAGAATTAAAATGGAAAACGGGAGAAATAGGGGAAATATTCTATTTTTGCTGCTAAAAAAAGAGATATTTCAATGGAAGAGATTAATAAAAGGAGGAAAGTTGTTTTATTTAAAGAAAAGGCATGTTGTTTTTTTTAAGTAAATTTTCAATAATACGACAATCATAAAGTTTTAATATTAGGATAATTTATATATTTTTTAGGTTTAGGGTTTAAGTAGACTTTGACTTTGATGTTTTATTTGATACAAGTTATTTTAATTTAACTTGATTAGATATTTAATTGTAGATTTTCGTTATATAAATTAACATTTCAACTAATAATATCAAAGTTTAAAATTATTTGATATATTATCTATTGATAATGTGAATTTCACAAACAACACTAGAAATAAAAGTAGGTGCCACAAATAGCGTCGTACTTTTGTTTGTGGAATTTTTTATTTTTATTTTTTAAAATTTTCTAAAATAATTAAAAATATCTATTTAGAATCATTTTAATCATTAACAACAACGTAACTGTTTGAATTTAAAATCCTTAAAAATTTCATTTTTCATTAACAGTGTACATTATAATAATCCTAAAGTTTATAGTGGAATAAAAACTTATATACTTGGGCCAAATAAAAAACCCAGAATCAAATTCAATGTTTAGCTTGGATGGTATTATTTTTTAAAACGTACAAAAAGATATGAGTTTAAGCATCTTTAAACATGAATTATCCCCCGATTTATGGAAAAAATCATCTAATTTAGAAATTTATTTTTAAACATCAAATGGTTTTAACAGTAGAAGAGAATATTGTTCTCATGAAATATTTTAAATTTGAGTAATTATAATTGCAGAGTGTGTATGCATTGTCAGTTGATTAATAAAGTTATGAGCATATATTACCTTGCAATCACCGCAAATTATTGAAAAATATATATATCTCATTATTTTTATATTATTTTTTCTGTGAATATCTTCTAATTTTCTACTATTAATTTCATTCGTCTACTTTCATTCGTCAAACAATCTTAAAAATATGTAAAACTAAAAAAAATTACATTATATATTCGGATTCTATTTTATTGATCATTATTATTGTTGTTGTTGTTATTATTATTATGTTAAATTGGAGAGATCTAAACTAGTTGAACCGTGGGCTCAGACTAGAAATTGGATCAACAATATGATTTGTGGTCCAATATTTTACTACCTTTAATGTCATCTAGTTAAATAATATTAATTTAAAATTAACTTTAAAATATTTTTTCTAAATTTTTAATTAATATTATAAAAAAAATGACTGTCCCTTTTTTCCATATGTATGGAGTAAGGGGGAGGTAAGATAGTAGGCTACCCCAACACCAGGTTGTTGTTCCTAGAGGTTAAGGGTTTAAGCACCGATGGCTGCAAGGGTGACTATAATTAAAATCACTTTTCTATTTACATCAAAAGAGAAAATAATTTTTTATTAGTATGAGGTGATTATAATATATTATTTATTCAGAATTTTCTTAGTCAACTGACAATAGACGCATACACACCATGTAGACGTAACTGTTCGAATAAGTAATATGTAAGGAGAACAACACTCCCTTTTATCATTAAATTCTCTCAATAGATTCAAAGAAATAAATCATCTTAAACTACCCACACTCATGTTATCCATCAACACTTATGACATGGAATTGATGAACTGTTTCCCAATGAAAAAAAGGAGTGGCCTTGTGTGCTTGTCAAATGGGAAAAATCAACAAACAAAATAACATAAAAAAAATCACCTTAACACATAACAAAATAAACCCTAAAAAGCATAAAAAGATAGTTCCCAAAAACCCAGAAAAAAAAAATCAAGTGTTCATAACATTAACCCACCAAACAAATAGGATCTAACAATAACCTGTAAGAAATAATTCGTCCAGACATGGCATGGATCATTTTCAGAAGGAATTAACTGCTGACTTTTCCTATTTTCACTTTCCTACAGCAAAAGAATCCACTGATTAATTAATTTTTAATTTAATCCTAAGTAATTTAGTCAGCTAATTAAAGTCTTTAATTATTCAATGAACACACAGTCTGACATTCAGAGATAGACTTCCAACACTTTTGCTTATTTCTAGGTTTCAAAGATACATATGCATAAGGACTAGAAATTGTTTATTTTATATATTTTATAATATATTATATAATAGTATAATCATATTCATCGTTTACGTAAAAAAATAATCAATTTATGTATAATATGTTGATTGAATTTTTGTAAACAAAAAATAATTTTAATTTACTTAAAGTTACTTTTGTTTAGTTTAAATTCAAAAAGAGTAAAAGATATAAATATATTTATAATTATATGCTTTTTTAGTTTAATTTTATATTATATTTAATTTTACTTACCAAAAATATGTGGAATATATTATTTTAAAATAAATTACATTTTTAAATAAAAGTGAGATTTTTAAACGGAAGTAGTATTTAAAAGAGTTGTTTATATTATTTATAATATCCTTAATTGAGTTAATTTATTGGTGTCATTGACGACTGATCTTGATTTTATTGGAGATGTGTTTCACTCTAGTGATGATGGTTGAATTGTTAGATTTCAGAAAGTTATCAGTGTCATCACAACTCTTCAAGTTGAGTTGTCGAGTCTCTACATTGGTCTTCAAGTGATATGAACCCAAGATATTGAATGGCTCTAAGTGCAATCAGACTGTACGGAAGTCATGAAGTTAGTCTTTGTCCCGAGCACAGACCATCTCCCTTTGGGCAAAATCATATATGTTATTCGAAATCAAACATGGTTTATAGAGTTTCTTTGGATTTCAAGAGAACCCAACATGGTGATTGACCCACGGACGAATATGTCGTCTACTCTTGACCACTATCAAATTTTATTGTTTGGTTTTCTACTGTTCCACATCTAACCATTTGTTTGAAGAGATATATAAAAAATTTTGTATTATAGAAATAAACCTATTTAAATCATTAGCTTAAATTCACTTCCCAAATCGAAAGAAAATTAATACATCACAATGGTATATTTTTTCTTCTTATACTTTATAGAAACCGACTAAAAATCACATAATTAAACATTAAACTGGTGTATAATACAATTTGTATATAATCTCTTTAGCAGTCCATCTATAATCATTATTGTTTAATCTATGGGGAAAATGGATGTGTCAATATATAACTATTTAAAATATTTAAATTTATTTTAAATTTTTTGATTGAATTAATATCACAAGTTAATTGAATGTGAAGTCAATTAAAAATATTATTATATTTTTCCTTTAAATAATAACTATTATTGTTATTACGATGTTTTTTATTTTTATATTTTTATATAATCTTTAATAAAATAACTAAAAATACCTATACAAAATTAAACATGAAATTAATAAATTCATTTACAAATCCTTTACTTATAAGTTGAATATTTTTAATATATATATATATATATATATTGTTTTTTCATTCGTATGGCAAAATCTAGTATTATTTAAAACTTAAAAATAAGATAAAATGTTATAATTAGTACAAGTTACCATTTATTTATTTATTTTCTAAAAATTAGTGATATATTGTCTCGGTTGTTGATGTGGCACGTGCTAAAAGCAGGCATGGCGAAGTCGACACAATGATTTTGGCATGAAGTTTGATAGCAAGGAATTCTGGGTGAATTGGGAAGGAATTATCATTATTGCTGTAATTTTAGATCTGACTTTAAATTTAATTAACTTATTATTTGTAATAAAATATTTTTTAAAAAAATATATCCCCAGTGTTAGGGTTAAGTACCCTTGTGAAGGTCACCCCTTCCCTCATCCCCAGGTCATTCTAGTCCACTAATGTCTCTACAAAAGCTTTGGAAAAGTACCCAAAAAAGGTTGACTTTGATGAAAATGAGAAATAGGATTCTTTTGCCAAACTTTAACTTTAACCTCTTTTGGTGCATCATTGTAGATGAAATCTGGACTTAATAGTAATTTTGAAGAAGAGTGTGAAATTTAAATTTGAATTTTATTATATATAAATTAAATACGGATATTTTATTTAAATTTATGCTGACTTAATTTTTATCATATGTACATTCAATCTTAAATTTTAGTCGGACTATATTTTGACTATTAGTCTACTCATGTATTTGCATGATTGATTCTGAAAAGGATTATTCGAAGGTATTGTTTGTAATTACAATTAAAAGTATATTTAAAATAGTTCGATCACTTAAAATGGTGGATCAAAACCATACATATATTAATTATCATGACAAGTTAATTATTTGATGCTAAACCCTAAATCCTAAAATAATGATATTGTGAAATATAAATTGACGAAGATGTGAATGCTCAACCAACCTTAAAATGTGTAGTGGTTGATGTTTCATAGTAAACAAATACTAGACTCCATGAATTTGGTTTGATTTGGGATGGATGTATAATTTTATGTTACGGACGAATTTCTAAAATTTTAATAAATGGTGAACTTATAAAAATTAAAGAGGCAAAAATCAGATTTTCAATAGAAAATATATAAAAAAATTTAAAATATATGATAATTTTAAATTTTCAGAAGGACAACTGCCCCACCTTCTCCCTCAATCCATCCCTAATTTAATTGATTGATATAATAATTTTTAGAAATTAAATACATTTAATTTCAGATTTTTAATATGTGTTTTCTTTTGTATTATATTAAAAATATATGATTTTGGTGAATAATGTTTAAAATTACAGGTTGGGATTAATTAAATTGTTATTTATAATGGTATTTGTATATGAACACAATGGCTAATGGTTATTTTGATGACTTCTAGTATGTTAAAAAAAAATAATGCTTCACCAATAGCAAAATCCATGTAAATTATAAAGTACCATGACGTGGAAATTAAGGTTTGTTATTGATAATGGAGCTCCTTGTCATGACTCAACTTATTATTATTTTTATATA